TTGAGTCTGCAGTGCTCTCTGGATGTAGGTGAACTACAACTCCAAAAATCAAGATCAATCCCCATCAAACCTTTCCAGTATTTTCCTATTGGTCACAGGATTTCTCAGTGCCAAGTTTACTTCAATTCCATCGTTGGTGGAGTTCAGAATGCTCTTTAATTGTAGGTGAACTATAAATCCCAGCAACTACCAACTCCCAAATGTCAAGGCCTATTTTCCTCAAACTCCACCAGTGTTCACATTTGGGCATAATGAGTATCAATGCCAAGTTTGGTCCAGATCTATCATTGTTTGAGTCCACAGTGCTCTCTGGATGTAGGTGATCTACAACTACCAAACTCAAGGTAAATGTCCACCAAACCCTTCCAGTATTTTCTGTTGGTCATGGAAGTTCTGTGTGCCAAGTTTGGTTCAATTCCATCCTTGGTGGAGTTCAGGATGCTCCTTGATTGTAGGTGAACTATAAATCCCAGCAACTACAACTCCCAAATGACAACATCAATCCCTCCTCCAACCCCACCCATATTCAAATTTGTGCCTATTGGGTATTTGTGCCAAAATGTGGTCCAGAATGAAAATACATCTTGCATATCAGATATTTGCATTACGATTCATAACAGTAGCAAAATTACAGTTATGAAGTAGCAACGAAAATAATGTTATGGTTGGGGGCCACCACTACAGGAGGAACTGTATTAAGGGGTCATGGCATGAGGGGTCATGGCATGAGGAAGGTTGAGAAACACAGCTAAGAATGCTCACAGAACATAGCATTGCAACATTTCTCCTCTAATAATGTTTTATCTGCCAATCACAGAGTTTATTCCCCTGTAAAATATCTCATGAAGCCCTGGTGCTTCCACTACAGCAGTGGTTCCCAACCAGTGGTCCACAAAAACCAAAATATGGTCCGCGGCTTCACCATTACTACACCGCTGCAACGAGTGACTGGTCTCGCAAAACCCTCTTATGGTGCCAAAGCTTATTAAATATGGTTTTCTGTGGGCGAGCAGATAGCGACTACTGGATAGCATCTGTTGGGCATCAGAATCTAGAGCTGATGTGGTCTATCCAATGCAGTTTCTGAATCAGCACCCCAAATAACCAAACCGAATCTAAAGTTGACCAAAAACGGATTCGTAACCCTTTTGGTACTAATGTTGGAGAGTGGTCCCTGGTCATAAAAAGGTTGGGATCTACTGCACTACAGCAGCATATCTTGGTGCCATCCTTTACTCCAGAATTACATGCAAAATCGTCAGGGCTATTTGTGGGGAAATGTATTATCATTGTAAATATAGATGAATATTGGCCAATTTGTAGCACTTATCCACAAGCTAAAGTAAATGCTAATAACAATGAATGAATATGTTCATCTCTGATAAAGCATCATACTTTTATAGGTAAACCCAAAGATTTGCTAAAGTAAATTACAACTAACAGTGGTACAAACATGTAAACCCCTTCCCATCAATATTGCCAATTGTGGTGAAGTGTAAATTTTAACCTACAGTTATGTATAATTATAAGTAGGTGTTAAAAGGGATAAGTATTTAAAATAGCATAACTGGGGGGATGGTAGCCACCTCAGCTCACTCTGAGATGGGTTGCCATGGTAAAAGGGGAGGAGCCAACTGCCACTTGGCAAGAGCAGGCATTTTAAAATAGGCAGTCTGTGGTCAGAGAACCACAGGGAAGGCTGGTTCTACTGTGTTGAGAATCAGGAAGGTTTAGGCTTTTAGCCTGCATGGTTTAGATAGGTCAAGTTGACTTATTTAGATTAATAGTTAGGGTTTGAGCAAAAAGGGGAAGAGAACCCCAGTAAGAATCTTTACTGCAACAGAGATAACAGAAGTAAAGAACAGGCTAGTACTTGGAGTGATCTGTTAAGGAAAGAAACACATTTTGAAGGAAATAAGTTTAAAACCTGTCTAGAGGAAAGAACAGTCTTCTTAAGAGTTGTTTTATGAAAGATTATAAATGTAATCACTAAAGGAATGTACCTCTAGGAGTTAAAAAACATTGAAACCATTAAGCTTCCATACCTCAATAAACTTATTACAGTTTCTCTTAAATCCAAGTCTCTGTTTCGTATACTTTTGAGTCAAGCTGTGCTACACATCAAAGGAAGATAAACAAAATATTACAGGCTAGTGGCTGTGTTATCGAATTTGTAGATTCATTACAAATTGTAGGAGACTCTGACAAAGCAGTAACGTCCCTACAACTGGTGGCATCATTACACCAATTAACACAGATTTAGATCTTATTAAATATATGAAAATGTATTGCTCCTGGGGGAAAATAAAAATCAGGATAGTACCTAATAGATCTTCAGATAATACATTGTCAACCTTTTTAAGTAGGCAGCATTTCTATGCTACATGTCAATTTTGTTTGCAATTCATTTTATTAAAAATCGCCTATGACAACTAAGAATACTCACAGAACATAGCGTTGCAATGTTTCTACGCTAATCGTGTTTCATCAGTCAATCACAGAGTTTATTCCCATGAAGCTCTGGTGCTTCCACTACAGCAACATATCTTGATGCAATCCTTTATTCCATAATTACATGCCAAAATGACAGTGGCTATTTGTGGGAAAACGTTATTATCATTGTAAATATATATGAATACTGGGCAATTTGTAGCACTGATCCACAAGCTAAAGGAAATGCTAATAACTATGTATGAATATGTGGTATCCCTGATATGGCATCATAGTTTTATAGATAAACCCAAGGACTTGCTAAAGTAAATTAGGACTTACAGTGGCACAAAAATATAAACTTCTTCCCAACAATATCACCAATTAACACAGATTTAGATCTTATTAAATGTATTTTATTTATTGCACTTGTACCCTGATCTTCTCACCCCAAAGGGGACTCAGGGCGGCTTCACAAAGGCAACAATTCAATGCTGCAAACACTCTCTCTCACACACACACACACATATGTGTGTGTGTGTGTGTGTGTGTGTGTGTGTGTGTGTGTGTGTGTGTAAATAAACAACTGCATCCAGGTCATATTCCAGGGCCAGTCTGAGTCATCATTCCATTATTTGTAGTCTCTTACTGTGATTACTGATGAAAAGCTTGGTCCTAAAACCATGTCTTTAGTTTTTTCCTGGTCAGGAGGGAGGGGGCCAATCTAATTTCACTAGGGAAGGAGTTCCATAGACAAGGGGCCACCACTGAGAAGGTCCTATCTCTCGTCCCCACCAGTCACACTTGCAAGGGAAGTGAGACAGAGAGCAGGGTCTTCCCCAACGATCTTTTCCTCTGAAGTGGATCATAGAGGGAGATAAGTTTGGATAGGAACACATATATATATCATAAATATATGAAAATGTGTTGCTCCTGGAAGAAAATAAAAATCAGGATAGTACCTAATAGATCTTCAGATAATAAATTGTCAACATTTTAAAGCAGGCAGCATTTCTATGCCACATGTCCATTTTCAAGTGCTCCAGTCTAGGCTTCTATCACATTACAGAGTTATAGTGCTATGGTTTCAAGTTAACTGCCATGGCAACATCCAATGGAATTCTGGGATTTGCAGTGTAAGGTGGAATATCTGAAATGCTCAGCCACTGATCTGGTGCACCATCAAACTACAACTCTCAGGAACCAATTGTAAGTTGCAGTTTGAGTGGGATCATGGTGTTATTATTGTGTATGGTGAAAGGGCCCAAGGTCAGATTCCAAAACATGAACAGGAACTGTGTGCCCCCTGTTCCACACGTTGTTGGGTTACAAGTCACCATACCCATAGCCAGCATAGCCAATAGTAGGAATTACAGTCCAACAACAACTAGAAGGCTAAACCATTCCCAATCCTGTTCTAGAACCATATCTGGAAATCATAAAATTTTAAGAGTTGGAAGAGATGACAAAGGCCATCCAGTCCAACCTTATGCCATTTAGAAACAAGTAAAGCACTCCCAACAAATGGCAATTCAGCATCTGTTCAAAATCTCCAATGAAGAACCGCACTCAGAGTATATCCCACTGTAGAAGAGCTCTTGTCAGGAAATTCTTCATAAAATTTAGGTGGAATTCCTTTTTTTATAGTTTGAATCCACTTTTTTGTCCTAGTTTCTGGAGCTGCCGAAAACAAATTTCCTGCCTTCCCCAATTTGATATCATTTCAAGTATCCTATGTTGCCATTAACATATATGGGCTCTCTCTTCTTCACTGATGCAGTGAACAATAGCAACCTAACATTGTCCTGCTGCCCAATGGTATTTTTCCACTGTCAGAGGTTCTGGTGAGGGGGTCCAGAAATTGGCAACAATCCCTTTCCCCTCACACACAGGATTTGTAAACCCTTTGGAACAGCTCTGGTGGGTGTAGAAGTTGGTAAGAAGGGTGATGTTTCCCTAAAGTTCAATGTACCCACCAGAGCCCATGCATTTAAAAATAAATCAACATGATTTTTGAGCAATGTTTGCCCTCAAACCACACAAAAAGCCCTCCAAATTAACTAAAATACCCCACCTGATTCTCTTAAGCACTCCAAACCCCACAGTATCCCCCAAATACATCCAATTTTCCACTGCATTCCCTTCCCTCTCAAAATGGAAAAAAGGAACTTAACATCATTTCCTTTCAAACTGTAGAGGAAAATTGATGTATTGATGTATTGAAGTTTAATGTGGGTGATACAGCATATTAGGGGGAAGAGGGCGGGCCTGGCCCCATAGTTGCCCCATGTACAGCATTGTCATCCATAATGACAAGAGACAAACAAGTGGTTTTAATGTTTTACTGCAAATATTTTCTTTACAGGGGATATGCAGATACATATATACAAAGGACATACAAACTCTGAGGAATTTTTTTTGCCATTATAAACAACCTGTGTGAACTAAAGGATTTCAAAAAAGAAAATATTTGTTAAGAATAGTTTAAGACAAAACCAAGAAAAAGGAAGATTGGATTTCATGGGAACAATTCTGTTTCCCAGAACATTTTAAATATTTCATTAAAAAAAAAAACAACCAGTTCATGTACAAAAAGACATGATAATTAGACTGAATGTTAATGATCATCCCATTCTGGGTACATTCATAGCAGGGGGTAAGCAACTTGGCCCTCCATCTGTTGGAAAGCAACTCCCACCAACCCTAGACAGCAAAGGAATAATGAGACTTGCAGTCCAACTAAAGCCACGTCACTTGTGCTACCTTACCCAGTGGTTCTCAATGTAACAGCTAATAAAATTCTACAGAATACATGTTTCCTGTTATGAGCTTTCAGTATTTCAACGTGAGTTGCATTTACAAACATTGTCAATTTCTGGTCAATAGGCCCAAGTCAGTCTTTTTGGATCTGGAGCTGGTCATGTTCAGCCTGATCACCGAGGACATATCCAATCAGAGCCTCCCCTTTCAACCAGGTGTTCTTCAAGGTATCTCCTGCCAACCTGGAAGGATGCGAGTTGCAATCCAGTGCATTTGAAAGGTGGTAACAGAAGATACTGTACTATTGTATTTTGAAGACTAAATTAGAACAAGGAAACATATTTTTATAAAGTTCTGGAGACAACATAGAAATTTTGCCTTTAACAATGGAAATGATTGTGTTGTTTTCATTTGTTGGCCATGATATAAGTCCAAAATTAAAGGAAATAATACATTTTCTGAGGTGCCACTTCTCTGCTTTGCTGGAAACATTAGAAGTCAAACTCCAAAGTATCTTCGGAATCTTGAAAAAGCATTGAATTTCTGATTTATCATAGTGCTTGTGACTCTTCACAAGTGGTTTGACAAACAATGTTCCTTTCAACTTGTCCACAAATTAAACCCAATGTGTTTTACTGCTAACTGCCATCTAGCATAAATCAAGAGTCTGACTATTGGAACATCTGCAGTTAAAGGTCTTGGTCTTCATCTTTTCATGAGCTGACATCAGCTGTTCAAAAACACAATTCCCTTCTTTGTTTTGTATAATCTGTGTTTGCTTTGTTATTGCCAAGAGACACTGGCGATACCTGAGATCATTTCAGTTGCAAGACAACCTTCAAGAGAAAAAGAAAGATGGAAGCAGTGAGCCTCAATGAAAAATCAGAACATTTTTTCAACACTCCCCAAGCTCGGAAAATTACTTTAACATTGCTATTACTAATTATAGTGTTTGAAACATAGCTATTCACATCACCTGATGCCACGTGTTGACAGACTTTATAAACTAGCTGGTATTGCCCCCCCCCCCCAGATGTGTGATAGGAAGTTGCTGCCAATTGCAAGAGAAATAAGGTTGAACATTGTGAAAGCCACCCACTGTATGGCTATCAGCTGCCTCCCAGTAGATTTAAATCAAGGAAAAGTTTCCTGAGAACCACCACTCCTACAAATGTTCCTCCAGCAACAGCAAGAATATCCCTGTAGACAGCAAAATAAGGCAATCCCAACTGGATGGCCCCCATGAAGGTCTTCCTCCAGGGGCAAACCAAGAATGGACAACTTGAAAGTCCTTGAACAGACTCCAAAGTGTTGGGAGATCAAAAGACAACCTGACAAAATGGCACTGCCTAGAAGAATCCTCCACCTTGTGCGATTGTGGAGCAGTACAAACAACTAAGCATCTGTATGCTTGTCCACAATGCCCTGCCTTATGCAGAGGAAGGATTGTTTAAAGCTACAGACAAAGCAGTCACTATTGCCTGTTTTTGGTGTAGAATTGTGTATCTGCTTGTGCTCCCTTTATTTTATCAGTTTTATACTTATTTATTTATGCAATGCTTTGACACAAAAATAAATAAAACTGGTGTCAATGCTTAAAATGTATATGTTACATTTCTGGTACATTATACTTTTTTCCTTTATTGCCATTCCTTTTTGAGATAACAACCTTAAAACTGATAAAGAAACATCAAAAATATCTTGTCAGAACACCTCAAAATATTTTAAAGCAAAATCAAAAACATCTTACTTGCAATACCAGAAAAGCAACTTTATCATTATTGGGTTGTTGTAGGTTTTTTCGAGCTATATGGCCACGTTCTAGAGGCATTCTCTCCTGATGTTTCGCCTGCATCTATGGCAAGCATCCTCAGAGGTTGTGAGGTTATCATTATTCATTATGGTTGTTTTGAAATGACCATCTTTGTTACCCACAAGTTGTCTTTAGTTATAAGCAACTATGTTTACTGTTTTCCTTGTAACTCATGACTTCCAAATTATGGCTCCAAAACATTTTAAACTTTACAGCATGCCTCCATGCTTTCTCATCTAAAACAATTCAATACATTGTTTTAGATGGGGAAAAAACAATAAGAAAAATTGCATTTTTGCTAACCCACAGATCCTCCTTGCCAAAACAGTAATTCCAAAAGCACCAAACAAGAGGAGAAACTAAGTTCACCAATAGAAATTTTAACAACCTGAATGTTTTATACTTGTCATCCCTGGTTAAATAATTATCTTGAATTAAGACACTAAGTACCAAAAAGCCCTGCTCCATTACATTCTATCTATGCTCACCAAGGGTGACCCAGACACAATTGTTGTCCACATGTGATCCTTCACATTTTATTTATGTTCACCAGGAGTAAGCTATAAAACACAACTGTGAGTCACATTTGCACCACCATCCAGCCACTGATGAATTCAACAGAATGCCATCAAAAGTCACAATTGTGAACATTCAGCAACTACACAAGATGGCCAAAAACAGAGTTCACACTGAGGAGTATTTCATGCAGATTCTAAGCTTCAATGCCCCTCCTTGGAGCCTCTACTCTAGGGTCAACTGATATGATCTAAGAGCCTGGAATCAGTACAGCCCACGGATGACTATCCCAGCTTCAGGTAAGATTCAATGGCAAGTATCATGAAACAAGGATAAAATCAGGCATATCCTTCATATACAAACATAAAAGGCTTATTTATTTATTTATTTATTTATTTCACAGTTTTCTATACCAAGCTTCTCAACCTCACTGAGGGACTCAGCCCGGTTTCCAGCCATAAAAACATATACACTCATTAAAATATCATATATCACAATTACAAAAACAACTTTAAAAACACTATATATAAAACTACAGTGGTCAGTCGTCCTATTAAGATGGATCTACATCAACTTCCATCCAGGGTCCTATGGTGTTGTCTCATTCATCGAAGGCCTGACTCCACAGCCACGTCTTCACCCGTTTCCTAAATGTTAGGATGGATGGGGTGGTTCTGGCCTCCAGAGGGAGAGACTTCCAGAGTCGCGGGGCCACCACCGAGAAGGCCCTGTCCCTCGTCCCCACCAGGCACGCTTGCGAGGCCGGTGTGACCGAGAGCAGGGCCTCTCCTGGTGAGTCAGAAAAAAAAATATTTTGGGCATTTCAGTTTGCTTTTAAAATGGACACGCACCTTATTAGCAGCTTCCAATGCATTTATTAGATTTTGTAGCTCCTCCTTATTCATTTCTAAGGAGCACAACTTGATGTCATCATTCTCTCTCATATCCAGATCCAGGTTTAGCAGTGGCATCTGTAGCATGGACAGCTTATCACTGGAGAGGGCAAGCTGTACAGGAGAGTTCAAAAGAAAACACAAGTTAGCTCCACTTAGCTCAAGGGTAAATAAACTGTCCATGAATGGAGCCTGAAATGCTGAAAATATTATTCCTTTCATTAACCACATAGTCGTATTTATAGGGGCTATAAATACATAAATACATCCGCAAGTTAAATTCATTCTGAGCAGGGTTTTTTTTTTTCAACAGCTGAAAAGCTTCACAGCTACAAAGCAAGTAGGAAATCTGCTTCCACTGGTAGCAATAATCAGACATGAATTTAAGTTTTGAGAAAGGGCTATACTAAATCCACACTTCAGCCATTCTGAATAAGCACCGTCACTTGCACATTTAAACTATACTTGGGGTCAGGTCTGATTAAACCAGTCACTGCCTATGCATAACAAAGCATAGCCCTTCCTAATTGGGGAGGGGGGGGGGGATGTGAAAGAACTGTGAAAATGTCTTTTACTGAGTTTCCCTGAATCCCGCCTGCTTTCCCACCCACCCCCATCTTTATTTCATATTCCTGGTGCCATTTATATAAACATCATTGCCATTTACATAGAGAGAGCCTTTCCTGATGTCTTGAAATGGGATTTAATTATGAACTTTTCATGAGATTCTTTTTTTTTTCCTTCACATTTTCCTCATACAGTTTATCATTATTGATGTTCACCAGCTGGACCTTGTCAGAGCTTGTACAGGTAATTTTTGAACTATAATTGCATAATTCCCCAGAGAACACTGACCTTACTGTCTGAGAAAATCAAAGAGCCGAGGTCCACAAAAGTAATTTTCACCACGTATGGAACTTGTGTATTTGCCCATATATTCTCACATGACTAAGAATGACTAACCTTCAGCTGCCAGTCAAAATCCAGGAGTTGAGCAGAGCACATGGCATTTGTTTTTTCAATCAAGGCCCGTCGAATATCCTGTTTTCTTCCTTTCAGGCAAGTGTCCAATGCTTTTTGACAGTCAACACTCAACTCATTCAGCTGCTGGACAGCCTGTAAAAGAGACACCAGAGTTATACTGTCTTAAAAACAGTTATGAAGTTCAAACTTTTTTTTCGTGTTAGGAGAGACTTGAGAAACTGCAAGTCACTTCTGGTGTGAGAGAATTGGCTACCTGCAAGGACATTACCCAGGGAATGCCGGGATGTTTTACCATCCTGTGGGAGGCTTCTCTCATGTCCCCACATAGGAAGCTGGGGCTGATGGTTCTGGCCCAGCTTACTTGTGCGAACGCATCCACACATACTTCCCATCTCATAATCTAAGATCATCCTGGGAGGCCCTGCTCTCGCTCCCATCAACAGCACACATGCGTCTGACGAGGACAAGAGACAAGGCCTTCTCAGCTGTGCCCCCCGCCTATGGAACACACTTCCAAATGAATTAAGATCTGCTCCCTCCCTCCTGGCTTTTAGAAAAAAATTAAAATCATGGTTCTGGGGCCAGGACTTCAGACAGTAGATGTATGTAGCATTTTAGAGGGACACTGACTGGAACGGCGATTTGACTGATGAGACTGTTTTATTGTTTTAATGGTTGTTGATGTATTGTTTTAATTATGAATTATGTATAATTGTGGTTTTACTATTGTAATTGTTTGTATTGGCATCATATCGGTGCCCAATGTAAGGCATTGAATTTTGCCATTATTTATGTGTAAACTGCTTTGAGAAAGCAGGGGTGAGAAAGGCGGTATATAAATACTGTAAGTAAGTAAGTAAGTAAGTAAGTAAGTAAATAAATAAATAAATAAATAAATAAAGTGAGTTGGGAGCTTACCCCACTCCCCAGATTCAAGTTCACTTTATTACAGTCAATGACCAGCTCAAGAGAAGAGGGACACAGTCCTGCACAAACACATCAGATCTCCAGGTTGAGGCATTTAAAGCTTTAAAATAAGCGCATCGTTGCCAGGACATCAAGACAATTAACCCAAGAATCTAAGCCAAAAGCCATATACAGGATTATATAAAAACCCAACACAATTAATGGAATTAAAAGGAAGGGAGTCTGAAGGGAGAGAATTGGGGTGCTCATGTGGCACAGGAAAGGGAAGTCCAGTCTAACAGAGGAGGGAGCAACACCCATACTATAATTAAAGACTATAATCCCAATTTTCGGCTAGTATGAAATCTTGACTTGTACTAGCCGGATTTTCATCACTGCTGTGCAGAACTTGGTGACATTATAATAAGTTATAGCCAGAATTAGTATCTGAAAGCAGCAGGGAGATGTAAAATTGTCCAGAGCGTCCTGGGTATTTGTATAGCCATGCGCAATGAGATGAGATCAAATATCTCTCAAGAACAGGCACTGAAGAAGCACATGTTCCGTTGTCTCTACGTATCCTGAGTCACAGGGGCACAGTCGACGTATGGGGTCTTCCAGTAACGACCTTCCAATACGGCACTCACCATCGGAATTCACTATTAGAGAAGATAATTTTACCAAAAGGCTGATCCAAATACACAATAGGCACTTCAAACAGCCCAGTGTAGTGGTATGTCTGGAAAATAATCCTTTTGAAACTGAATGTTATCTAAAATTATAAACATTATTAAATAATATCGTTTACATTTTAATAGCTAGATTATCTGCCTGAGCTACAAAATACTAGCTAACACGGACTAAAATGTTAATACATATTCCATATTAACTGAAGATTTATACTTAATTCTACTAATCTTCCAGCCTGAAGATACACCAGGCTTTACTTACCAGTGTTTGGATAAAATGCTTTACTTCATTATACATTTTGGCTGAGAACAGCAAAACCAAGACTTGATTTTAGAAAAATATTCAATTAACAAGTGCTCATACCTCTTCATCGGAGACATTTTTGCCAACTGCATTTTTGAAATATGCTGTCGTTTGTTCTAAAACTTCCATCCATTCTGACAAATTCCAAATAGTGTTGTAGTCCTGATATCGAGGGTACGCCCGGCCACATATGCCATCAATTACTTTATGAACAAACTGGAAAAATAATAACATAAACAAAACTTGAAGAGATGGTTAGCTTCATTTGACTCGCCACATTTCAAGCAACCTACTGCTTCAAATAAAAATTCTATGAACTTTGCTTACTGCAGGGTTAGAAAACACAAGCCATTTGTAGTCATAAACACTTATAAGCCTGGAGATGATATTTTGGACTACAATAGTGGTTCTCAACCTGTGGGTCCCCGGGCGTTTTGGCCTACAACTCCCAGAAATCCCAGCCATTTTACCAGCTGTTAGGATTTCTGGGAGTTGAAGGCCAAAACATCTGGGGGGCCACAGGTTGAGAACCACTGCTCCAGATGGTATCCCCAAATTCTAGAGCTGAAACCCAAAAAAGGACATTGTCAAGCCTTTAAGCATCAAGAGTATTTTTATCTGCTATTTAATATTGAATTGTTCTTAACCACTTGTTTAATATTTCCCAATTGCACACTGAGAGAAATTAAAAATAATCAATTAAAAATAAAGGCTCTTGCTAGGATCTGGACATGTCTCCCAGAACCTGACAAGGAAAGCAATACAATCGGATGGATGAGCCAAATCAGCTCTTATGTTGTGTTCTCCATTCTCTGGGTAATCCTCCTTCAAGTCTTTCTAGGGTTAGACGAAATACAGTAAGACCTCCATATCTGTGAAGGATATGTTCCCAGCCAGACTGTGGCTATATAAAACCATGAATGTGACCAAATGCCATTAAATTTCCTCTCTTCCAGTCCCACCAAATGACAGAATCTACAAAACTAAATTTTAAAAAATCTGTTCCAGGTTTCCTGTTCAATTGTGCAGTACCTAATTGGAAAGTATTGTTATACTCCAGAAACTTCGTTTTAGTGGCTGCCACAAACTATGTTGAATGGGTTGAGACTCAAGATATTTATTGAAAAACCATCACAAAATGAGAAAGTTTTTGCAGTTTAGTAAACTTTCCCCATGTTTTTAGGATAGAACACATTAGGAAATGACATTTATAACCCAGGAACAAAAATCATGTTACATAGTTTTACCAGCTTTTATTTTGTCCAGGAATGCAAAACAGAGATGTCAGAAATCTAGCAAGAAACAATACATAGCTTGCACTGTTGAAGGCTTTTATGACTAGAATTACTGGGTTGCTGTGAGTTTTCCACGCTATATGGCCATGTTCCATAAGCATTCTCACCTGACATTTCACCCACATCTATGGCAGACATCCTCAGAGATTGTGAGATCTGTTGGAAACTAGGCAAGTGGTATTTATATATCTATGGAATGTCCAGGTGGAAGAAAGAACTCTTGCCTGTTTGTGGCAAGTGTGAATGTTGCAATTGGCTAGTTTGATTAGCACTGAATAGTCTTGCTGCTTCAAAGCCTGGCTGCTTCCTGCCTGGAGGAATCATTTGTTGGGAGGTGTTAGCTGGCCCTGATTTATTCTTGTCTAGAATTCCCCTGTTGTTGTTGTTGTTTTTGTGTGTGTGTGTGTTATTCTTAATTCGCTGTCCTGATTTTGGAGTTTTTAAATCCTGGCATGGCTTGTGGGATGGACTGGATAAGGTGCATCTCAGCAATCCCCAAAGGAGAGATTATATCTCACATTTTATCCGAAATCAGAAGTGGTGGGGGAGGGGAGAGGAAGGAAAGAAAATGGGAAAAGAAGGGAGGGAGGGAAGGAGGGAGGAAGTGGGAAAGAAAAAGGAGGGAAAGGGAAAAAAGGAGGGGAAAGGTGTGAGGGGAAGAAAAGGAAAGGAAGGGAAGAAAGAAGGGACAAATGAAAGCAAAAGAAGGGAATTGAAGGGAATTGAAGGAAAGAAGATGGGAAAGGAAGGGAGGGTAGGAGGGAGGAAGTAGGAAAGAAAAAGGAGGGAAAGGCAAAAAAGGAGGGGAAAGGTGTGAGGGGAAGAAAAGGAATGGAAGGGAAGAAAGAAGGGACAAATGAAAGCAAAAGAAGGGAATGGAAAGAAAGAAGATGGGAGAGGGAGGGAGGGAGGGAAGGAGGGAGGAAGTGGGAAAGAAAAAGGATGGAAAGGAAAAAAGGAGGGGAAAGGTGGAGGGGAAGAAAGAGAAAGGAAAGGAAGAAAGAAGTGGCAAATGAAAGCAAAAGAAGATGGGAAAGGAAGGAATGGAGAGAGGGAGGGAAGGAGGGAGGGAGTGGCAAAGAAAAAGGAGGGAAAGGGGAAAAAGGAGGGGAAAGGCGTGAGGGGAATAAAGCGAAAGGAAGGGAAGAAAGAAGGGAAAAACGAAAGCAAAATAAGATGGGAAAGGAAGGAAAGAAGATGGGAAAGGAAGGAAGGGAGAGAGGAAGGGAAGGAGGGAAGAAGTGGGAAAGAAAAACAAGGGAAAGGAAAAAGAGAGGAAAGGGGTGAGGGGAAGAAAGAGAAAGGAAGGGCAGAAAGAAGGGACAAATGAAAGCAAAAGAAGGGAATGGAAGGAAAGAAGATGGGAAAGGGAGGGAGGGAGGGAAGGAGGAAGTGAAAAAGAAAAAGGAGGGAAAGGGAAAAAAAGGAGGGGAAAGGTGTGAGGGGAAGAAAGAGAAAGGAAGGGAAGAAAGAAGGGCGAAATGAAAGCAAAAGAAGGGACCGGAAGGAAAGAAGATGGGAAAGGAAGGAAAGAGGGAGGGAGGGGGGAAGTGGGAAAGAAAAAGGAGGGAAAGGAAAAAAAGGGGGCAAAGGCGTGAAGGGAGGAAAGAGCAAGGAAGGGAAGAAAGAAGGGACAAATGAAAGCCAAAGAAGATAGGAAAGGAGGGAGGGAAGGAGGGGAAAAGAAAAAGAAGGGAAGAGAAAGGAAAGGAGGAAGGTATGGGGGAAGAAAGAGAAAGGAAGGGATGAACAAAGGGGTAAAGAGGGGGAAGCAAAAGAAGGGAAGAGAAAGGGAAGGAAGGAAGAAAAGAATTAGAGCAGGAGAAGGTGTGTAAGGGAAACCGAGAAAGGGGAGAAAGTGCTACAAAGAGAATGCACATAGCCTGGTATATCACACAGACACACACACCACTCGCAGTTGCACCCCTTTCCAGAGGGCATCTATTGCTGCTTGGGTGACAAAACAGTGGGCGGTAGCCAGCCATCCCTTTCCTTCAAACACATCCCATGCCCGATCACTTCCCAAAGAAGCAGCAGCAGCAACAAGAACAACAACTCTTCCTGCCTCACCTGCAGCGTCTCTTGGGGAGGCAGCTTTCCTAAGAGGTTCATCTTGGTCTTTGACACCTTCGCTGCCTTCTTTCCGCCACCGCGCATGCGCACCCGTCCGGCAGGAGGTGAGCAAAAAACGCGGAAGAGCCGGAGCGGAAGGAGCCCGCGGCTTCATCTGTTTCCCGCTGCCGTCGTGTCGCAACCTCCCTATCAAAAGGGAAGCAGCACGCATGCGCAGAACATCTTTCGCTCTTGGTTCCTCTGATTCAGATACTGATTGTACTGAAGCAGCGTTTCCTCATCAAAAGGGAGTTTCTTTCCACACAGCTGAATAAAATCCCACATGATCTGCTTTGAAACTGGGTTATATGGCAGTGTGGACTCAGATAACCCAATTCAAAGGAGATATTGTGAATTATCTGCCTTGATATTCTGGGATATATGGCTGCGTGGAAGGGCCCAAAGTCTTGCTTATTATACAACAACAATATTGTTATTATTTATGTTTGTTTTTACATATAACTCCTACACTGTTGAAAGGATAGTTCATCTGTGAAAACATTTTTTTAAAAGTGAGTTTTGCAACTCTGCATCAACAAGAACACAAGGACAACAATGGGCCTTTTATAAAGTTGTAATTTAAGATGAAACTTAAAACTGATTCATCTTGGATATAATTGATGTGAGTTTTAAAGGCAATTTTAATGCCTTTTTTTGTATTTTCTGTTTTTACCACACAGTTATTATTTAATTTTTCAACATTTGTATTGTGCTCTTTAAATTGGGTAGTGTGGAAGCCATCTTGAGTCCCTATGGAGAGAAAGGTGGGATATAAATTATTATTAGTATTATTATTATTATTAAAAAGTATGGATTGAAAGTGTTGCAATTTCAGGTGACAGCAGGATTGAAGAGAAACAACTGGAAAAGCTGACACAATATGAGGATTTAAAGATCGAACTGCAAAGACTGGCACAAGCCAGTCAAGGTGGTCCCAGTGGTGATCGGCACACTGGGTGCAGCGCCTAAAGACCTTGGCCTGCACTTAAACACAATCGGTGCTGAAAAAAATTACCATCTGCCAGCTGCAAAAGGCCACCTTACTGGGATCTGCACACATTATTCGCCGATACATCACACAGTCCTAGACACTTGGGAAGCGTCCAACGTGTGATCCAGCAGAGTGTCTGCTGTGGACTCATCTTGTGCTTCAAATAATAATAATAATAATATAATTCACTGGAACTTGGCCACAAATATCATCTACCTGTGACAAAGAACTGGTGGCATCACATGCCGGAAAAAAATACAGAGAATGAACACATCAAGCTACTCTGGGACTTCCGAATTCAGACAGACGGAGTTTTGGAGCACAATACTCCACACCTCGTATTAAATAACAAAGTATGCATAGTTGATGTTGTAATCCCAGGCAAATAGCAGGACTGAAGAAAAACAACTGGAAAAGCTGACACAATATGAGGATTTAAGAATTGAACTGCATATGAGGATTTAAAGATCAAACTGTAAAGACTCTAGCACAAGCCAGTAAAGGTGGTCCCAGTGCTGATTGGCAGACTGGGTGCAGTGCCTAAAGACCGTGGCCTGCACTTGAACACAATCTGCGCTGACAAATTATCATCTGTCAGCTGCAAAAGGCCACCCTACTGGGATCTGCATGCATTATTTGCCGATACATCACATAGTCCTAGACACTTGGGAGGTGTCTGATGTGTGATCCAATACAACAACCAGCAGAGTGATCTTGTTTGCTGTGTACTAACCTTGTGTTTACTTAGCCATTGAATAACACTATGTAGCAACATTTGGAGGGAAAAAAATCTGTTCCTGGTTTGAAAGTGTTATTTCCTGTTTGATTGTGCAGTCCTTACTTTGAAAATAGTTGTTCTACTCCAGAAACTTTGCTTTCGCGGCTGCCACAAACTATGTTGAATGAGTTGAGACTTAATGGGGTATTCATTTAACAACTAGAGCAAAATGTGCTGCAGTATGTCCCGAAAAAACAAAGCTTTTGCAGTTTACTAAACCTTTTCTATATTTTTATGATAGTACCAATAAGGTAATGACATTTATAACCCAGGAATAAATTGTGTTAATTAGCTACAAAAGCGTGTATACATTTTAGGGGACATCCTGTGTGTGTATGTATACACACACACATACATATGCTTGTGTCACAAGAAATTTAATATGCAGATTTGATAAATGTGGATTTGATATGATATATGGTATGAATGAATTGAATGAAAAATGGATGGATGGAGTTAATCATTTTGAAGACACCGGTCTGAAAAAAAGATCAAGGCCTGCAATGACTAACTACCTGCTTGCTGGACTGCAATTCAAAGTTGCTAATGAGAACTAAAAGTAAACTGCGATAAGAACTGTGACAGTGATAAGGAAATGTTTACAACATTCCTTATGTTAAGAAGGAAGTCAACACAAGGCTAACACACACACACACGTGTATATAACTTGCATTGCCCATGTGTAATTGGGACTGCTGCCCACCTACTTTCTCCCTTTTCCAGCTCCAAGAAGGCCTATGTCACAATGTCTCCATGGCAACACTATGACAATAGTGTGCAAGCTCTCTTTGTAGCTCTTTCTTCCCTTCCTGTTTCCCTCGTACTCTCTCTCTTTCTCTCTTCTTTCTCTCCCTCATACACTTTTCCCTCTTTTTTCTTTCCCTTTCCACCTGTCCCCTTTTCTCTCCCCTCCCTCCCTTTATCTCTTCTATCTACCTTCCTTCCCTCACCTCGTACTTCTGACTTCCGCACCTTTCTCTTCCTTCCCTCCTTTTTCTTTCTTCCACCTCCCTTTCTTTCCTTTTCTTTCTTTCCTTTCCTTCCTCTCATAAATCAAAAACTTAAGTCTCTTCCACACAGCTGTATAAAATCCACATTGAACTGGATTATATCACAGTATTGACTCCGATAACCCAGTTCAAAGCAGATATTGTGGATTGTCTGCCTTGATATTCTGGGTTATATGGCTGTGTGGAAGAGCCCTTAAACTAGTATCAATGCTCTGTGAAAGTTTCTAAGACAGGAGAAAGACAACCAAATTTTAACAAGACATTTAGTGACTCTTGGAATCCTGTGTATGGTATTCCTTTTTTTTTCTTTGTGTTTAACTAACCCAAAGCCAATGGTCGTTAGGGAGCTAAAAGTCAGCAGCCATTGGAAATAGTCCCCATGTTTTTTCATATTTGTTGTGGTCCAGTGATCTGGGGTAGGGAAACAGTAATATAGAAAAGGATAAGTAAGAGCTTTGTGCTCCTGATCAGGCATGCGGGCCATTATGACTGGGCATGCCTCAGTTTATCTACTGTGAGTTATGACAAATGTCTGCATTCTGTTTTCAAATGAAGGAAAAGCAAAAATAGGTTGTATTTTGGCAGACGTTCAGTGTGGAAGCAGTTCAACTTCATTACCTTCACCGTGTCAGTCTATAAGCATGGTAACTTTTAAATGTTTTAATTCTTTAATGTACTTTTCAATTCTATTTTAATATTTATTTAAATGTACATTGTGTTTTAGGGCATCAAATTGTTGCCTGTATGTAAAGCCGCCCTGAGTCCACTCGAGGGTGAAAATGTCATGAATAAATAAATAAATGAAATGAAAACACAAATAATTCAATTATGTAATAGCATAGTAATAGTAACAATACAAATAGTGTTCTCATGTGTATACCATGTGTCCATATTATCAACACGTAATCTGCTATAATATAACTTGGTTATATCATTTTCCTCATTATATAGAGAGAGGTTTGGAGCAGGGAGAAAGCAGTTTGACAATAATGAAGTTATGGCAGAGGTCATGTGTGAACTAGTGTATTTAGTCTATGAGATGGCAGTATGCTGAGAATTGTAGAAAACAGCATACTGGTATCTCATAGACCAGGTATTCTCCAACTGCAGCCCACCGGCTGTTTAGGCCTCCAATTCCTAGAAGCCTTAGGGCCCTTCCACACAGCCATATAACCCAGAATATCAAGACAGAAAATTCCACAATATCTGCTTTGAAAAATTATTATTATTATTATTATTATTATTATTATTATTATTATTATTATTATTATTATTTGAAACACAACAAGATGAGTCCACAGCAGACATTCTGCTGGCTGCTGAATTTGATCCCACGTCGGACACTTCCCAAGTGTCTAGGACTGTGTGATGTTTCAGCGAATAATGTGTACATATCCCAGTAAGGTGGCCTTCTGCAACTGGCAGATGGTAATTTTGTCAGTAATGATTGTGTTTAAGTCTTTAGGCACTGCACCCAGTGTGCCGATCACTACTGGAACAACTTTGACTGGTTTGTGCCAGAGTCTTTGCAGTTCGATCTTTAAATCCTGATATCATGTCAGCTTTTCCAGTTGTTTCTCTGCAATTCTGCTGTCACCTGGGATTGCGACATCAACGATCCATACTTCGTTTTTTAACACGATTGTGAGGTCAGGACTATTGTGCTCCAGAACTCTGTCTGTCTGAATTTGGAAGTCCCTGAGGAGTTTGGCGTGTCTATTCTCTGTAACTTTTTTCTGCTTGTGATCCCACCAGTTCTTTGTTGCAGGCAGATGGTATTATTTATTTATTTATTTATTTATTTATTTATTTATTTATTTTTATACCCCACCACCATCTCCCCAGGGGGACTCGGGTAGACTTACATGGGAACCAACCCAAATCACAGATAAAAACAACAGCATTAAAATCAATCAAATAAAAACATAACACAGTTGCAATAAACAACATCATAAACATAAAAACATCATGAAACGATATCATGGCTGAACCAGAATTGGAGCTGGGTCCAGGCTCAGGTAAGTGAAATTCGTGCCGGGAGAAAGTGCAAAAATTCAGATATATCAATCTAGAGGAAATACCTCTAGCCATAAGTGTCAAAAGTTAATGGGGAGTGGATAGAACTAAAATGCAGGAGCTTAAATATGATCGAGCCAATTCTTTGGTGACATGCTTACACAAAGTCCATACTGCCATATATTCCAGTCCAAAGTCGAAAATGTGGGATTTTATTTAGCTATGTGGAAGGGGCCTTAGGCAGCTTTTTCAATGGTCAGGAATTCTGGAAGTTAGAGGGCCAAG